GTTAGTGATGGCTGCAGGGACCCGACCATCGTGGAGTGGGGAGAAGAAGACAGACTCCTCATCATGGCCTCTTGTGAGCAAGGTTACCGTGACGTGTACGGATCCACCGTGAGTGGGGTGGATTGGTATACATATGGTGAGACACTTACTCGCGTGTGGGGCAACTCACATGATCGAACAGGGTACGGCGTCCAGAATGCCTTCATCAAAGTGACAATTGAGGACAAGGATGTGTTGCTTGTTACCCTGCCAGTGTATTCCAAGGACAACCGAGGAAGCAATAAAGAAAAGGGTCGGCTTCATCTTTGGCTGACGGACAAGGCGCGTGTGTATGATGTTGGGCCGATATCCCGTGAGGCTGATGACGCTGCCGCGAGCTCCCTTTTGATGAGGAGTGGGAATGAAAAGTTGATCTCAGTGTACGAAAACAAGAAGAGCGACGGGTCATACAGTCTTGTCGCCGTGAGCCTGGGGAAGCAGCTGGAGCGGATCAAATCCATGGTGAAGAAATGGAAGGATTTGGACGGCGCCTTGCATTCATGCCGTTCCGTTTCCAGCGGCACTGTCGACTTGCCAACGAAGGGTATGTGCAATGGTCCTGTTCCCACTGATGGGCTTGTTGGCTTCTTGTCTGGTAACTTCTCTGAGGACACATGGAGAGACGAGTACCTCTGCGTGAACGCAACTGTGAAGAATGGGGAGAGAAGGGTTCCCAATGGATGGACGTTCAAAGGGTCTGAAGCAGGGGCGGTGTGGCCTGTTGGCGACATGGGGCAGACTGTGCCGTACTACTTTGCTAACAACGAGTTCACTCTTGTGGCGACGGTTTCCATCCACGAGGTGCCGCAGAGTGGCAGCATTCCCTTGATGGGTGTGAGGATGAATGACACCAGCAGCACGGTCCTTTTTGGTCTGTCGTACACCCACGACAAGAAGTGGAAGTTCACACTTCCCAATGGAGCTTCTGAAGATTACAAATATTACGAATTTAATAATAATTGGCAACCAAACAAAACATATCAAGTAATGCTGCAAATGGAAGTCAATGAGTGGTATGTGTACGTTGATGGAATGCAGGCTTATTCTGGACACTACAATGGGGATTTGTTTGAAGAGCACAGGATCTCACACTTCTATTTTGGCGCGGAGAATAAGGAGCATTCGGAAGGCAGCCACGTGACAGTGAGCAACGTCCTGCTGTACAACCGCACAATCTATGGAAGAGAAAGGACGATGCTCAATGCAAGCAAAGTCCCTATTCCAAGCCCTGGTGAGGAGTCACGCTCGGTACCGGAGATTCCGCCGAGGCCCACCGGCGAATTTGGGGCTACTTCAGTCAAGAGAAACGAGGAACACCTCGGCAGCCATGCAGCGTTGGGTAACGGGGATCCTGAGAGACAACATACAAGCCCCAACAATGGTTTGGCGCCTGAGGCTCCCTCTGCATCGATACACAGTGCCAGCAAAGTCCCTATTCCAAGCCCTGGTGAGGAGTTCCTCACTGAAGAAGAGGAGGAAACACCATCATCACCTGAAGAGGAGGAAGCAGAGCAGGAAGTTGAGGAGGCGCCACGGCCACAATCATCCGTGGAAGCTTCTGGAGGCAGTTATGCTGCCGCAGTGTCTTCTGGGGGCCGTGGCTCGCACGGAACAAGGGAGGAGGAGACGGAGACGGATGGCAGCAGTGGATCGGCATCTCCACCGGCCTCATCGAGTGTGAGCACTGCCTCTCATAGGGGCAGCGACGGGATGGGTGTCCGTGAAGGCACCTCTCTGCGGGAAGAAGTGCCACCACATCTCGGGACTGAAGTCATTCCGAAGGCCGACGTGGAGCGACCGATCCACGAAGAAGAAGCGACCTCTCCGGAAGGAGCCACTGAGTGGCAGACGCAAGAAATCACTGCGCCTTTGGTTGAAAATGAAGACAGTGAGGACGTTAGCACCGCATCGGGCAATACAAGCACCCTGCCTGGGGAAACCAAGATCCCATCGAAGTCCAACGCAACAGCACCCTCGGACGCTGGCATTTTGCTTGAGAACGGGCATTTCGAGGAGTTGGCGGGCATGGCTCTATTTGCTGAGAGCACCGTGCATGGGTGTGTGTCTCGGGTGTTGTTGCTGATGCTTCTGGGGCTGTGGGGCACTGCGGCTCTCTGTTGAATGAATTGGGGAGAGAAAAATTGCAGAATTCTGTGGAGCAACAACTGAGCGGCATCCCAGCAATACTCAATGAGTTTTGCCAATGATACTTTCTCTTTTTTCTGTTTTTCTTTTTTTCTTTTTTACGTTTCTGTTTTTTGTTGTTTTTTTTTTCATTTTTTCTGTTTTTTTTTGTTTTTGGTGTTTTTTCTTGCTGGTGCTCTGCTGAAATAATCAGCACCCCTGTTTGTGTGTTTTTCCCCAAAAAAAAACGGTCGCTTGCTGCAAACCGTCATGCGTGACGTGCTTCTCCCTCTTTTGTTTGCTTTTTTTGTCCACACGCGGTGCCGGCCTCATTGCTGTGCGTCCCACGGACTGCACGAAGGGAGGAGTGGAGGAGCAGGCCGGATGCCGCATGGAATGTGAGGGATGTTGTGTGGGCTGGTGGGAGAGTACAATTCCTTTTTATTTTTGTGTGTGTGCGGGCAGTGTGTATAAACCCAAAAGCACGGTTGCATTGTGCTGCGTGGCACATGAAATGACATATCTGCCGAGTCAATTGTTTTTTCTTTTTTGCTTTTTCTTTCTTTTTTCATTTCTTTTTGTTTTGGTAAATCACTAAAGTCTTTTTTTTCCGTCTGTGCCGTGTCCCATGTCACTTTGTGTCTCCGTGTCCTGTTGAATGTCCCTCTGCCGGCTGTGCTGCTGGCATGCCTCCATTTCTTCTTCTTTCTTTCCTGCTAGCAACACCGATGGTCCGCGACGACGATTGTTTGTGTTCCCCCTTTGCGATGGCACTGGGGTGACTGGGCGCCGGCCTGCTGACTGCACTCGGAGGGGAGCGGATGGCGTGCGCCGTGCCTCACTTGTGAGTGTGGGACGCCACCCGCCACGACCTGCTGCGAGGCGCAGCGCTATTCCGTCGCGGCGGAGAGAAGCGAAGGACCGCGCCGTGGACTTGGATGCGCCCGTCCCTCTTGTTGCGGCTGTGTGTGTGTGTGT